TCCCTTCTATTTTCTCCTATATTCTTGTACTGGTGGTATCATCCCTTTACAGGAGATTTAAAGAAGAATCGCCTTGTTTCTTGTGGGTGGGTTTCCTCTTCCTTTTGATTTTTGAGACTGATGTCTTACCTGCTGTCCTCCCCCTTTTCTTCTTACTCATTCTGTGGGCTAAATTAGCATCCAGAGCACCTCTGCATCTGACTTACAACATTCTGTTATTGCTCACGACTCCCTCTTCCACAGCTTCTTGCTATTTGGGGTTACTTAGTGTTTCTCATGATTCTAGACTTTATTGCTTGTTGTCTGCTTTTTTATTTCTTGGCAAAAGACAAAATATTCCTCCTAAACTTTTTAAAAGTCAAAATGACTCAAGAAAAAAAAAAAAAAAGTCTGGAATGTGAGTCTTCCCCTCCCTCCCCCCAGAGCCCTCATTTAGCGCAGCACTCAGCGCTTGGCACGTATGTAGCGGCCATTTTCACCAATAATCTTTAGAGTTGGGCCCACTTTTGTGGCTTCAACAACAGATTGAAGTTGTCACTAAAATAAAATAAAAAAATAAGAATGTAATTGCCTTGCAGCTCCTCTGTTCCCTTACCTGAGATATAAATAATGTTTGCAAGTAAATGCAAAGGCATTGTCACCAAGAGATGAATACTGATCTTTCTCTGAGCTTTTAAATAAAACTTCCCAGAATTATAAAGTAGGGAGGGTGCAGGGCAGAGAAAACAACCTTTCAAAAAGTTTAAATCAATAATGATTAACATTTGCTAGCCTCTATTTTCCTGCTAATAACCGAAGACAAGTTCTAATTAGAGAAACCTCAAGTGTCTGGATTTCTAGTTGTACCAGATGGTGCCACATGAGAACTATTCATAGTGCCAGGAGAAGTCTGGGTTGTTCTTTGCTACCTTTCTTCTTGATCTTGTCTGAGGACACTGACATCTGCCTGCTTTTCTTTGTGCTTTATTTTTCTCCTAAATTTAGGAGGCATATTCCGCTATGTTTAGTGAGCACTCTTGTGATCTGTAATTTGTTTTTCCCTAACAAGCTCATTTCACTCATCATTTTCGGATTTCCTCTGATGCCTGTGTTATCACCTGAGCTCACCAAATGTTTAATCATCTCGTTGCTTCTTTCTTCCGGTTCTTTTTCAAGGTCACACAAGGTCACACAAAACTATCACCATCCTCCGTCTCTTGCTGCTAAGAGACCATTAGGACACTTGTGCCTCTTCAGGTTTTTCTTCTTTTTTTTTTTTAACTCTTTTCACACATTGTCTGAAAACATGTTTTCTCCTTTTGATTTGTACTTGAATATTGTCTTCCTTTGCTATTAACTCTGCTAGCCCACTCAGAGAAAGCTTTGATTCTTATATGGAAGTTTTCAGTAATTTTGAGTGCTGGTATTGTTTTGACAAATGCTGCATAGCATCTTCTGCAATATGAAAATCATTCGCATTAGGATAACAAAGTGTGGAACTGATTACATTTAACTAAATTCTTGCCCTTTTTTTTTTTAACAAAGATGTGTTTATTCTCTCTGTTGTGAAAGTTATGATATAATTGCCCTTTATAATGAAACTTGGTCTCGATTTGATGCTTTCTGAGGGAATTTTCTTTGGGGCAGTGTGAAAAATCAATAGCGACTGGTTATCATCAACATCTCCAGAGTAAGTGAGGAGAACTTCTTGTTTTGCAGGGGGTGTGGTGGAGAGTAAGTACCGGGGGATTGAACTCAGGGGCATTCAACCACTGAGCCACATCCAGAGCCCTATTTTATATAGAGTCAGGGTCTCACTGAGTTGCTTAGTGCCTTGCTTTTGCTGAGGCTGGCTTTGAACTCATGATCCTGCTGCCTCAGCCTCCCCAGCCTCTGGGATTACAGGCRTGTGTCACCACACCCGGCTGGAGTACTTCTTCTTCTTCCTCCCCACCCCCCTTTCTTTTCTACCATATTTCTTGCTCCTACTGAAGGGTAAGGCAGAGGGGAATCAGCTAGGAAACTGCTACAGTAATTCAAGCAAGAGATCTGAGGGCCCGATTTTCTGGAGTAGCATTAGGCCTGGAAAATAGTTCATATTATTATCTTAAAAATCATCTTAAGGGGTTGTGGCTGTGGCTTCKCGATTGCACAATTGCCTGGCATGTGTGAGGCACTGGGTTCGATTCTGAGCACCGCATATAAAAGTCTATCAACAACTTAAAAAAGATTAAAAAAAATCTTAAGCAAAAAGGGTTTCCTTAGTTTATTTTATATTTCATAATGCTGAAACTGCTTTTAGGGTTTAGAAACTACATTTTTGCTTAGTCTTTTTTTTTAATCCCCCTTATAACATGCCCTTTTTATCCCCTTTTAACAGGATACATGTATAATTATGAAATAACACATGCCCTATTTATGTATTTCCTAGTTATGGAAACCACTTACTTGATATCTATTGTATCTTTAAAAAAATTAACATTTATGAGAAATTGTGGATATACTTAGAGGTATAGTGCTTAGCATGTATGAGACCCTRGGTTCAATCTTCAGCACATGCCCCCAACTCAACATTTTTGATTTTCCACCTTTAAAAGGGAAATTTATCTCTTTACCTAGAGATGATGACTATTAATATTTCAGTGTGTTTCAGTTTTTCATAGGTATAGAAATAATTACGCCAAAAGGAAATGCTGATTCCCCTGATTGAAGCAGTACACATACACTGTATGCTTGTATTGAAATATTACACTGAACCCATTACTATGTACAGTGAACACATGCTTATCAAAAAATAACAGAAAAAAGAAATAATTGTCATGAAACATATCTCTAAGTATTATACAAAATCCTGCATTTATGAAACATGAAATTATGAGATATCATTAAATACTAGGAGAATTCTCATATTGGTCAATTCCCATTGATTCATCATGTGGACRCACAATATTTATTTTCCCATTTCCCTGCTATGGACAATTTAGGTTGTCTCTGACTCATTATAATGAATTCGATGGCCAATACTTTCATGAATAAGTCTTCATATAGATCCTTAGAATAATGGATTACTGAATAAACATGTTTTTATAGTCAAGAACATCTCTGAAGTCTTGAAATTGGAAAGTGTAAGATGGGAATGAGTCTTGACGGCTGAAAGTTCCAACCCACACATAGCAACAGCGTTTAGCTGCTCTGTGCTTCCTGCCTCTGCCACCTTTTTACCTGGTGCCCACTTTGGATAGAGAAGGGCAGAGTAGATTGGAAAGAAGATACTGAGGGCAGGCAAGAAGACCCCTCGTTTCTCCCTAATTCATCTTTAGATACATCTTTACCCTTCAGCTCAACTTGGATACCCATGTGGTTACTGACTCTTCCTTGGGGTTTCTGTTTGATTTTAGTACAGGTCTTTGTGTTTTTCAAGGAAAATAGCTTTTATCCACCATGTCCTGTGATTTTTTTTTTTTGGCTATTTTATGAGCATTGCACAATGACTAAAATATCTCCTGTAATTTCTGATATTCCTTCACTGTAGGAGGAGCCTGGTGAGGGTATAGTGACAGAATAGCATAAGGAGGGCAATTCCAGTTAATATTTTAGGAGCCAAGTTCAATACAAGTCCTCTTGTTTACGTATGTCAGTTTATTTAAGCAAATAATTATTTGGTTTGGCTATTAAGTCAGCTTTGTGTCACCATAACAAAATACCTGAGATAATTAACTTATAAAGAGAAAAGGTTTACTTTGGCTTATGGTTCTAGAAGTTCCAGCCATTGCTTTTAGGCCCCTGGTAGGGGTGCTGAATGGTATTAGTGGGGAGCATACGATGAAACAAACTGCTCACCTCATGGCTAAGAAGAAAAATATAGGGACCAAGTTGTCCTCTTTGGGACATACCCATAGTCCTCTTTGGGACATACCCCAGTGACCTAAGGACCTCCCACAAGGCTTCACATCTCAGAGATACTGCCACCTCCCTATGGTGTCACCCCGATCAAGCCTTTATAACACATAGGCTTTGGGGGGGCATTTAAGATCCAAACTATAATCGGTGTGGAATCTCAGTATTCATAATTTAAAGAAACAGGCACACACACATTTGCCAGTAAAAATGCTAAGTGTTTGGAGCTGGGAGTATAGGTCAGAGGTACAGTGCTTGCCTAGCATGCACAAGGCCCCTGGATTCAATCACTTGTACTTCAAAACAACAAAAACAAAAAAAAAATCCAAACTGCTGAGATTTTCCCCATAATAGTATTGAGATTAGCTTGTCTTGATTCTTGTTATTCTGAGTTTTTTAAAAAGTTGATGTATAAAACCTACTCCCATTTCTTTTATGAATTCCCAAATAGCAGATTAACTAGTGGCATTTCATATTGCTACAAAATGCCCTTATGTTCTGTGAATAACATTAATTCCAATTAAATTTAGTATTTCTAGTTATAGGTTAATGTTTCCTTCTTGAAATTTCCATATTAAAATTAGTTACCCATCTTTAAGTCAAATTATTTCAGTGATTGCCGTTCTATCATGATCCCAGGGAGCTAACCCCAGGATTAATTTTAAAATGTTGCAAATAGCATTTGTATCTATATTTAAAAAGTTCTCCAATTGACCAAGCAGATGTTGTTACAGATTTTTGTCTCTGATATGATAAATTTTCCATTAACTTTGAAAATCTGTGTTTAAGGAATGTGCTTTCAAGTTTTGCATAGTTGAGCTGCAATTTGTGAAAGTTCAAGCAGCTGTACTGACAACCATTTGATAAGTTTGTAATTGAAGCTCTTTTCGGAAAAGACCAAGTTTTGGAGCTTTATGTTCTGTATTTTACTTTCATACACATGTATTTGAATTTCCTTCCTTTTGTAGGTCTGGAATTATGATATGCTTTGCACATACACAGAGGCTATGTACATATCCTCTCACATGTCCGGTTACATTGTCTACCCAACTTAAGTTGGAAGCAAAGATGCATTGTTTTATTTTAGGCTTTTACTACCTAATTTAAAGTATTTTTCCTTTTAGGTTGAAGAAATTGTGGATGTTGGATCATTTGCTCCAGAAGACATCCACATTCCTAAGATTTATGTACATCGCCTTATAAAGGGAGAAAAATACGAGAAAAGAATTGAGGTAATAGACTTGGCTTCTTTGTTAGTATTTATGTATCTGATTAGCAGAGGAATTTGTCCATTCCAGATGACAGCAGATGGGAGCTAAACAGGAAGAGTCTCCTTGGTTCATAGTGTAAGAGCTTCTCGTGTGCCCATTGTAGGGGAACGTGATAGTCTATGCCACTTTCCAGCCTAATGGTGACCATATCCCATGACCCTCCAGGCTCTGTCTGCTAGACTTCTGTCGTGGTTTTAATGAATAATGCATGGCTTTGGCTGGCTATCCTAGAGGGAAGCTAAGAATAATCAGGTCTTTGGTGGCTTTACCCCTGCTGGATTCTTAATGTTTGATTGCTCTAAAAATGTCTGCCTATCTTGAAATTGCTTTGTATTTTTATGGGATGCAGAAAGAATATCATTTTTAATTATCTTTGAGCTCTGAGCAGCTGGTGGGTATGAGGCTGTGCATGGATTGGGTACCAGGAGCATTGGAAGTATTCCAAGGCCAGGGAGAGAATAAAGAATGACCAGCTGGGCAAGCATTGATGTCAAGATTCAAGAGTGTCTAGGGATCAGCCACAGAATAGACACTTGATAGGCTATGTTAGGGAATTAGAGATAACCACTGCCTGTGGACATCAAACGGAAAGATGTTCTGCAAACCAAAACTGTTGTCAGGGACCTTGAGAAAAAGAATGGAACATTTGCAAACAGAAGCCAGAGTCTGCATCAAGGAGATTTAGTAACAGAAATTGTTTTCTGGCTGATTTCTAAATGTTTCCATGATTCCTGTGACGCACATGGAGCAAAACCAGGCTAGACTCTGCAGGTGGAAATAGGCAATTGGCAGCAGCAACACCTGATAAACACATTCTGACAGCCCTGRAAAACAGATTTCTAAGGTCTATTCATTTTTCTTTGTGCTGGCTCAGCCTCAGAACACCTGAGGAGAACTCACTGGTAGGAGTCAGGTGAGTAACAGTAGTAGCAGCCAGTGTGACAGGAACATGGGCATTGTTTGTGTCAAAGATAGAACAGGTGTATCTTGCTCTTCAAATAAATCTGACCTCTTTCATTTTACTTCCTAAAGAATTACTTCTGTCATCAAATGTCACCCATGTTATTCTTTGTTCAAATCCTTCATTACATTGCAAATCTGGCTCCTAATAGTAACGAGAAGGTTCACTTTTTCCCAGTAAAATTTTTGTATTGCAGCTTGCCTTCAACCATGAATAATGTATTCTGTTTATTTTACAGCGTCTATCAACCCGGAAGGAAGGTGGAAAAGACAAATCTGATAAACCTGAAAGTAATGTAAGGGAACGTATCATCAAACGAGCAGCTCTTGAATTTGAGGACGGCATGTACGGTATCCTTTGTCCTTCTGAGACTGGCCAAAGGCAGCCCTTGCTTCTCTCACATTGCTCAGGCCTCCTGAAGAGTGATCCCTCTCTAGTTCACAGCAACTTTTAAAACCACTGATCAATGTTTTTATAAAATGTGGCATCTCACTTGAGGCCATTGGTATATGAAATTGGGGTTATAACCTGTTTGCCTTCTTAAAACAAAGTTTCAACCAAAAATTTGCTTACTTTCACTGTACAGCAGATTTTAGTACAGTGTGGCATTTATTTAGAGGTTGTTGAGAAAAGAGGTTCCCCAAGATGAGGATTTAAAAATCTCAGAATCACTAGTTTATTTTTTCCATRTTGTGATATTTGCAGACTCATGGAAACATAATATCAAGCTTCTTAACAAACCTCTACTTTCCTTGACAAAGATTCTGTGAGTGCACCATTTTATGTCTAATGTTTTGTAAAGGGTATTCAATGCTCCAAATTCTGCTTTATGTACTTGGGGGAAAAGAGCTAGAGTAAACATCATTTAGTACAATTAGCATTTGGATTTTGAATGCATTTAAATAGCAGTGAGGCTGTTCACCATTATGCTAATTTTTTAAGAGACAAGACATTGAACTATATAATACGAATAGTATGTGATTAAATAAATATTGCTTGAACTGTGGCTAGAGTAAAGCCGTACTTAGAGACCCAGGATAGGAAGAACTAGGAATGTGACAGAGTTTCTCCATTCTGTGAGCTTCCCTCATCTAGAAGGGACTTAGAGTTTGCCTAGAATGATTAACTCAGTCATTCCGATTGTGATCTTGACTGAGAGAGCTTTCTTTCTTTCTTCTTCTTCTTTTTTTTTTTTTTTTTTTACTTTTACTGCCTCCTTTTTTATTTTATTTTTTCCTCAGTTGTACCTTGTAGTATGTATGATGACAGTTCACATCAGGGAAAAGAGAATGTTGCAAATCCTGCATAGGCCAGGATTATATTGACTTATAGTGAAAGTTAGCCCACTGGAGTTTCTTTTGGGTCAAATGACTTCCCATTGATATTTAAACACAGACTAAGACACTGGCTAGAGATAATAATTGAGATTTGTAATGACTTGTAGGTATTCTCTATTCACTGTTATTGTATTCCTTGTGAAAAATATATGCAAGTCAGTTCATCTAGATGGTCTTTCCATATCACCCACTCTTCTTCAACATAGACTTCTCTCTCCCTGGTATGTGACTTACTAAAAAGTATTTTTAAAACCACAAAAATAGCAGAAAATGACAAAGGAGTTGAGGTGTAAGGCTTGTAAGTTGGGTTGTTCTTCTCTGAAAATACGTCTTCTTAAATTACTAGCTCAGTGTGTTCGGTGCATGATAAATAAAGTACAAATGGCATTATATTACTTCAGGCTGTGATTTGGTAAGAGCTGAACCGAGGAGCTGTCTTAATAGCTTCATAGACTTACTGCACTCATGAGACCTGGGTCACTGAGTTGTCTGTCCTTTAGGCTTTTGTAGTTTATAATAGGGTGTCATCTATAAATTTTATTTCTTGTAGCCTTGATTCATAAAGATTTCACTGTAAATGGTACCTCATCAGCATGCCATTATTATTTGTGTTAGTTCTTTGGTGTGCTGTGATAGTGAACAGCAGTGCACAGCAGTTCTTGACTATCTCTACCGGGCTCCGCCTGCCTGTGAGAAGCAGGATTGACACCACACCGGGGCCTGCAAGTCAGGCTCGACCCTGCTTTGGTCCTTTAAGGGAGAACATTGCATACCCTCAATTGCTTCTCAGATGCCCCTTTTGTAGTTACTTTTTTATATGGCCTCAAGTGTGTTTGTGACATGTACCTCCCTCTCCACCGTGTCTTTCACATGATTCAGTTACTAGTGAACGTCACCACAGGGACACAAAGGATTGACATGCCTTAGGCAGACATTTTGGTCTTGCCAGAAAACTTTTTGAAAATAGCATCTCCTCTTTGGAATATTAAACCATATCTATTTATTCATTAATTATATATTTTTTTGTTTAAAAATCCTTAGTTTCAATTTATTTCCTATTTTTATTTCTTTCTTTTTAAGTGGTGCTGAGGATTGAACCCAGGGCCTCACACCTTTGAGGCAAGTGCTCTACCACTGAGCTACAGCCCCGGCCACAAATCATCTTTGTTTTTAATGGCAGTTTTATAGAGTGAAAATAGTTTTTAAGCAAAGGTCAAGCCTTATATAACAATTCATCAATCATAATACATCGTGGTGGCGCATGTCTATAATCCTGGCCACTCTAGAGGCTGAGGCAGGAGGATTATAAGTTCAAGGCCAGTCTCATTGACTTAGTGAGACCCTATCTCAAAAAAGAAAACGGAATGGGGTTGTAGCTCAGTGGTCCAAAGCACCTCTGGGTTCAATTCCTAGTACCAAGCAAAAACAAAAACAAAAAAATATTAATGAAAATAAAATGTGTCTAATGCTTTTGTTAAAATGACCTCTTGTCTGGCTTCTGAAACTACCCTTTGTGGGAAAGCACATCAATGTTATTGAGAAAGCTGTGACTAATTAGAGATTTTCTATTTGGAAAATTACAAACTAGTACCCAGAGGGTGATTAGAGAATATATGCAGTTATTGCATTCACAGCAAGTTCCCTTTTGAAAAGGATTCTATTCAGATTTATATGTACAGAAGGTTTATGGCATAATCTCTCTACCTGTGATATGTTGGGCCTTAACATCTTTTTTTTATAGCTAATTTGGGCATAGGAATCCCTCTTCTGGCCAGCAACTTCATCAGTCCAAATATGACTGTTCATCTTCAAAGTGAAAATGGAGTCCTGGGTTTGGTAAGATGGAAATTAAAGTTTTCTTAATTATGAACTATTAAAGAKATTATTTATAGTTTGCCATTTTTATAATAATTCCAATCTTTTACTTCTCAGTAAACTTTAATTATTAATGCAGTAAAAATTGTACATATGGGACCTATATATCTAGTACATAAATTTAATTAAATAATGGTCATGGACAATCTGGTTGATATTGATTGAGGCAATAATCATGACCATTTTCAAAGGCACAAGAATGCTGTATATCTGGATAAAAGCAGACTCTGATTGAAGTCAAAGGCTTACAGATTTTTTTTTTTAGAAAATTGTTCTTTTATATATATATATATATATATATATATATATATATATATATACACACACACACACACACACACACATAAGTAGAAGGCTTACATGTTTAAGGAACTTAGCCTAGAATGATTAACTCCTCATTTTGAAGACAAGTGAAATAAGTTTTTATTTATTTATTTAAAGGCAAATTCACATAGGTCTCAAACATTAGTTGCCACTGCAGTTTGTAGTATAAATTTTAGATCCCTCTTTTGAAGGTATATAAAAATTTCATAGCCAGTATTTCTTATTCTTTACCATATATTATCCCTTTCTCTTTTTTCCTCCCTTTTTATTTAATATGTTATTTTATGAAACTACTTACCCCTTTCAAGTAATTAGAATTGCTTTAAAAATATATACAAAATTGGCTAGGGGTGTAGCTTAGAGTACTTGCCTCACATGTTCCAGGCCATGGGTTTGATACCCAGAAATTATAATAATAATAATAATAATAATAATTATTATTATTATTAATATTATTATCTTACTGAGAATAACTGAGTAAAGTGACATAAGGATGTCTCAGTTTAGCTGTAAAGAAAGGTAACATTAAAACCACAAACTCAGGGCTTTTAGTGCAAATACCAGAAAGCTTCAGCTGCCATCTTCCTTCTATCTAAACAGTATATCTCTGTAGTTGGTGTTTATTGATCCTTCCAGAAAGGTTTAATGAATAACATTGACTGCATTATAGGTTTTAAATAATTTCTTTGTGTTATTATTGACATATAATAGCATGACTTTTCTTCCAGGCTGGTAATTTTTAGAAAATATTTTTCATTTGCCCAGTCTCAACTGTTAGTGTATTAAAAACTAATCAATATGAAAAACAAAGCCATGAAAACACTGGAGTTATTTAATTTAATTTAATTTTTGGTACTGGGGATTGAACTCAGGGACACTCAACCACTAAGCCACATCTCCAGTCCTATTTTGTATTTCAATAGAGACAGGGTCTCACTGAGTTGGTTTACGCCTCACTGTTGCTGAGACTRGCTTTGAACTCACAATCCTCCTGCCTCAACCTCCTGAGTTGCTGGGATTATAGGAGTGTGCCACTATGCCCAGCGAGGAGTTATTTTAAGATAATCATTTCCCATCTTTGGATGATAACTTTCTGGGACTTTAGGGAAGTTGTTTATATTACAGTTTTATTATGTGATTCAGGAAAATCTTCTTTTAYTAACCGAATGTGTGTTGTGTTTGACAGGGTCCATATCCATTTCAACATGAAGTTGATGCAGATCTAATCAATGCAGGTAAGCTCACTTATTACATATTTTTCCAGCATTTTCCTTTGCTATTAGCTGAGSTCTGTGCCAGACAGTAGAAAGGATGTGCCAAACCACATGGATTTGTACTCAGTTCTTTGTTTCTTCATGGAGAGCATCTCCACCCTATTTACCCTCTTTGAGACCTCTCATCCAGGGCTAAGGTAAAGGAGCAAGTGCAGGAGGCGGCACAGGTAATGGAAGAGCTTGATGGGTCGGGCAAGGTCTTGCCTATAACTGGAGAACACTCTCAAAGGGGATAATAGAGGAGAGTTAACAGAAATGATAATTTACAAGTATGGCTTGGGTTAAGGGAAACCCAGAAAGGATGGCAAAATCCCACAGGGAGTAACTATCACCTCTTGGCCTTAAGGGGCAGTAATAACAGAAGCCTCTAATAGGAACTGTGTCTGAGATCAGTTAGTAGCAGCCTGATGGGTGGAAAGTCTCTTCTGTTGGGTTTCTTGCCTTGGGCCAATCCCAAGTCGAGATAGGCAAGCCTTCTGTGAATAGAGAAGTTGAGAGTGGATCTATAGCAGCCACAAGAAAAGTTCTAGTGCACCGGGTGTTTTGTTGAAGGTGATTCTCACTGTCCTCTAGTCCTTACGTGAGTGAGACAGCATCGTCCACAGGACAGCATTGCTTAAGGATGTGTTCTGCCACAGAGCTTCTTTGCGTCTCTCCTGTAAGCATGTGCTCTGTCTGCTGTCCTCTGCCTGTTATTTGACTGGGATGATAGAACCACATTTATCAGCAGCCCAGAGGAAGAACGGGTCAGGCCTTGTGCTTGAGCCAGTACTTCAYTGTGTTAGAGCTGCAGCTCTTCTTTGGGACTGCCCATTATCAGCAAAATTCTATACTCTAACATCATTTTCTTTTATTTATTCTTTCCCTCTATTCCTTGTTTTGGGGGGCAGTGGGTTGGGGTGAGCACCAGGGATTGAACTCAGGGGTACTTGACCACTGAGCCGCATCCCAGCCCTTTTTCATTTAGAGACAGGGTCTCACTGAGTTGCTTAGTGCCTTGCTTTTGCTGAGGCTGGCTTTGAACCTGCAGTCCTCCTGCCTCAGCTTCCAGAACCTCCGGGATTATAGGCTTGTGCCACCGCGCCGGGCTTCTTCCCCCMATCTTACTTTGCATTGCAAACTAGCACTTGTAAATCTCAAAAGTGATGTGATCTGAACATAAAGGTCAGCTGCCAAGTAGAATTGATGTTTGATACTTGGAATTTTTGAAAGTAATACAACTTCTGGTTGAATAGTTGAATTAGTTAACAGGACTCAACTCTGAAAGGCTCACTGGGATAAAGCAATGACATTTAACCAAGGCTATAATTTAATTGGACTGTACCTTTTAGCAGTAGTTCATTGATCTGTGAAAATATTTGCTGCTTGGTTTAATTAATTTATAATGTTAGGGAATTATTTGCAAAATGAATAACTCCATTTTCCAGATTTTAGGCTTGAGTTCATAAGACCCATTTTTCTTGGAAAAATAGCTAATTTTTTCAATTTCATTGTTGGATGGTAGAGTCCATTGAGTCCATTGAGTTTAAAAGTAACTCAGCCCTAATGAAGCCACCGGTTTTATATTACAGCTTCTGAAATACCACATACAATCTTAAACTACTTTGTAAAACAAGGATTCAGTGCTAATGGGAAGCCAAGCTGCAAATCAGTTTAGTAATATTCTAACTCTCACTGCAGTCTTTTTTGGAATTTTTGTTGCTTTTGATATTGGTTCTTTTCAAAATAGGAAGGAAAGTTTGTTTTTGTTTTTTTGTTTTGGTATCGGGGTGCTTAACCACTGAGTCACATCCCCAACCCTTTTTTATTTTTTTATTTTGAGACAAGGTCTCATTAAGTTGCCAAGGTCTTCCTATATCCTCTGGGATTATAGGCATGTGCCACTGCACCTGGCAGGAGAAGTTTTGAGTTAGAAAACCTAGAATATAAATTGGTGATTTCCTTAACTCCCCAGATTACCTAGAAATTACTTGAAAGATCGATCCCATTGTTTGGTTTAATTTACTTTTATACAAATCCCTTTGGATGAATATGAAGAGAWATGTTTCTGGTTATTAGAATTATTTCCAAGGATTCCTTTTTCTAAATAATAGTCTCATGTCGTGACTTAAAAGTAAATTACCACTGGGTAGTACCATATGGCTTTTTCATGTGTGTTATACCATTTAAACCTCAAGTGGAATTTGTTACACAGATTGGGAAATTGAAGCACAGAAAAGGCAAACGATATGCTCAAATAACATCGCAGGTACTGAACTTCCAGTGTCCTGCTCCTGCTCCTGCTCCTGCTCCTTGGCCTCTGTCTCTCTATACTGAATGTTGCCTGCTGATAACCTGGCTTTTATGGAGGTGCAGATAGCAGTTCTTAGAATGGTTCAGGAGTCCTATGTTTTGAAATTTTTACAAGTCTCAGGTTTTTGCTTTTATGTTAATGTATATTTTGTATTCTCCATTTCTTCTGGTTGTTTTCTTATTTTGAGATACAAATAATGTTTTAAATAACCTATCTTTCGTTAAAATTGCTTTAGAAAGAACCACCATGCTGATATCATGGCGTGAACATAGCCCTGGCCCTGCTGTATACTTGCTGCAGTAGTGGTTTTCAATGGATTTGGGGTGAGGGTGTGGTTTTGCCTCCCTTGGGACCTTTGRCAATGTCTGAAGACAGTGTAGASTGTCATGCTTGGGGGAAGGAATAGAATCTAGTGGGTAGAGGCCGGAGATATTGCTAAACATCCTACAATGACCAGAATAGCTCCCCACAAGTTATCAGCTCTTTGAGGATATACCACAAATTATCCAGCCCCAAAGGTCAATAGTGTACAAAAGGAGAAACTGTGTTAGAGGTATCTGGACCACATCTGAAGAATCACAGTCCTGCAGGCTGTAATACAAGTAGCACAGCAGCATTTCCTATCTCTCTAATGATTGCACCCAGCCTTTGCAGCCTTACCTTTCACCACACTCCACAGGGACATCTTTGTCTACTCACACTGGGTTGCTGGGGAGGTCCTGATCATGTCTCATAACTTTCTTTGTTGCATGCTGTGCTCTTACTGTGCCCTTTACTAGATAACTTTATTTTGCCCTCTTCTTTTTTCATCCCCATCTCTCTACTGGTAACTTGCTATCAAAATGCTTTACACCCGTCCTTCAAATTCCAGCTCTTATTCCTTTTCTAATCCTTCTGTAGCTCCAAAATGTCCTTCCCCTGAGCCAGAGTCTACAACATATCTGTGTCTTTCTCATAAGCACACCACAGTTTTCCTGGTAATTGCTTGTCTGTGTTTGTCTCTCTTGCTGGATAGGAGGCTCCTTTTGCTGAGGGCATCAGTTTTTCATGTCCCCAGACCCACGGCCTCAGCATCACCAGGGACTTTTTAGGAAGGGAATTCTCAGCTCCCACCCCATACCTACTGATTTAGAGACTCTGGTAGTTTGATACAACATCTGTCTGCATTTTTATAAGCCTTTTGTGTGACTCTGATGGTTTCTTAAGTTTGAGAATCCATAATTTGGGGTAGCTGAATTTTGTTTATACTATGATTTGAGGCGCAYAGTAGATATTTATTCCCTGTTGAGTACGTGATCTGTTAAATTATGGGCCAAAGGTAACTAGGAAATCAAATCACTCCACTGACCAAATATTATGAAAAGATTCAGATATAGTTATAGAAAAATTGGAGGAGTCAGAAATCAATCAGGAATAGCCAAATAAGAAAGTCACCTTCATTTATGTTGATTATCTTATTGTTTATTGTTATATGTCTTTCTTTCCTTGATCAAATTTAGATATTTTATTAGAAAATCATGGATTTAACTTTAGAATATTTATTTTTATCTAAATATAGGATGTTTAAAAATGCTGACAATTCAAAAAACTAAAAATAGGACCAACACATGATCCAGCAGTCCCACTTGAGTGTGTGTGTGTGTGTGTATGTGTATATGTGTGTGTGTGTGTGTGTATGTGTGTATGTGTATATGTGTATATGTGTGTGTGTGTATGTGTGTATATAGCCAAAGGAAATGAAATCAGTAGGTCAAAGACCTCTATCTGCATTCCCATGTTTGCTGCAACATTATTAACAATACACATAAAAATGGAGACGGTCTAAGTATCCAGCAACTTACCAGTGGAAAAAGAAAATGTGGTATGCATGTATAGTGGAATACTATTCAGCCCTGAATGGATGGAATTCTGTTGTTTGTGACAAGAGTGCAATTAAAGATTGTTATGTTCAGTGAAATAAGCCAGGAACAGAACAGCAAGTACCATGTGTTCTGTCAGATGTGAAATACACAAAAGTTGATCTTATAGAAGTAGAGAATAGAATAGTGATTACCAGAGCTGRGGTTTGGGGGAATTTGATCAATGGGTACGAAGTTAAAGTCAGGAGCAAGAAGTTCTGGTATGCTACTATACTGTAGAGTAGCTGTAGGCAACAGTAATTTACATTTCAAAAAGCCAGAAGGAAGGATTTTGAATATTTCTGTCATAAAGAAGTGGTAAGGCTTAGAGGAGATAGACATGTTTACCTTGATCTGAACATTTCACAATGTATACATGCATTTAAACATCACATAAATATGTGCAGTTTTCATGTAGCAGTTAAAAATCAATTTTAAGTAGAAAATCCTGATGATTAACTTTACTTCAAAAGAATGAGATGCTAGGATGTATTAGCATGGCCTGATAACTGTTTTCCTTGAGAGTCATTTTCTGGATTCCTTAATAAAAAAAAAAAAAATTATGCTGCCTAAATCATACAGGCAGAAACAGAGTTGTCCCCCTGGACCTTGAAGTTTCCAAAGTGTGGCGAACACTACCTTCTATGTATTATCAGCCAGTGGAACTCTTTGGAAGTCATTGCAATTTAATACCTAGAAAACAAACAATTGGAGTTTTATGTTTTTCTCCTTTTTTGTTCTACGAATTCTTCCTCCTTGCCTCTCTATCTCACAGGATAGGCGAGGATCTGATTTTGTTGGACATAGAAGTTGTACTAGGATAAGGGCCAACATTGTATGCTGAGCTCCCATAACCCCACCATTTAAGCCAGCTGCTGAGTCCTATGAGATTTCTCCCTAGAGGGAAGATGGCATTGTATTGTCTCTTCTATAAGTAGGTTTGGCGAAAGGAATAATAATAATGACAATAATACAGGCTGATGTTTTGGGAGCTCATTGTCCATGCCAGACTCTAGAGAAAGTTCTTCACATGGGCTAGCTCACTTAATTCCCCAGGTCTAATGTGCCATCTAAAAGCCCTTTCTAATCATACCTGAAAGTGTTTTCCAGAGCTTTTGTTTCATGGTACTTCAAAAAATGTGATACTTTTTTATTGTTTAGAATCAAACTCCCTTGGGGGAATAAATATTTCAGCCTAATATAGAGATTTACTCTTTGTCCATATTCTGAACTGGAGGAGGCTGTTGATATGAGAGTTGTCTTTCAGCAGGGTCAGCGGCTGGGGTGTAGCTGTGTCCCACCGCTGGGGATGACACACCACTTGTGGTCCTCACGTGTGCAGGAGCTTTTCTGAGTTCCAGTCTTGGAATCACAGATTTTCTTCCCGCTCTTTATATCTGCCCTCTTCACTCAGGGCCATGCGTGGGGTGTTCTCAGAGAGTTGACTTACCTGTGGCCAAGTGGTATGTGAGCACTCTTCTGGTAGAGACCAGAAGCTGTTCCTGGGTACCTAAAGCTCCTGAGCAGACAGGAAATAGATCACTAGATGACAGCAGCGTGGGCAGAAGTCAGGTGTATAAACTGGATAAACTCAAAAGATTTTTTCCAGCTCTAAACTTTCATTTATTACATGATATAAATTTTAGAAGTGCTTTCAAAAGGGTCTCTTATAAGTTAACGTTACATTCATTGGCCAGTGTTACCATATTTCCTGAGTACACCAAAGCCCAATGATTCTAGTAGTAGTTTATAGGAACAAGAGAGTAAAGATTGATCAGAGACAGATGAAAAGAAGAGGGTTTGGGTTTAATGATATTAAGGAATTAGGCAGGTTCTTTCTACTTTTTTCTTTGATGTTTTATTTATATAAATATATTTTTGCCCCAGCATTATTGAGGTATAATTGACAAATAATAATTATATATATTCAGTGTGTAACAAGTGACGATTTGATGCACATATACCTTGTGAAATGATTACCAAAATCAAGTGAATTAACATAACTGTCATTTTTCTTTGTGGTGGGAACATTTCCTCTCTAAGCAAGTTTCACGTAGGTATGCAGTGTTATTAACTAGAGCCACTGTGCTGTACGCCAGATCCTTAGGACTTATTCATCTTGAAACTAAAAGTTATTTGTTGATTAAAAAAAAAAAAGAAAAACTGAGGGACATCTCCTATTCCTTTCAAAATGATATTTCTTCTTCTATTCATATTTATTCCACCAGCTCTTTTCTCTGGTGACGTCTAGTAGCATTGAATTCTGACAGTGTCACCCCAGAATTCCCTCATTTCTACTCACATTTTGCAGTGACTTATGAAGGGAATGGGGTGGTGAGAAGCTCAGTAGATATACACAGTAGAGGGGTGCTTTGCCTATAGAGAATCCAAATAATAATACCACTAAAAGTTGGTTTACTTCTGGGACCACCTTGCAGGGGCAGTGCTGAACAATACTGGTGACAGAACACTCCTCTTCACAGGGTGGACAGTTCCTACTGKGTCCCTCCAACCCTATGCCACTGCACTGCATTTGGTAAAGGGAGCCTACGTTTCAGACCTTTCTGTTTTGATTGCTATTCTCAAAATCTAATATAGACTTTTTTTTTTCTTCTTCTTCTTTTCTCCTTTTGTGTGTGTTTAGGCAAGGAAACAGTTACTGTTCTTCCGGGAGCCTCTTTTTTCTCCAGCGATGAGTCATTCGCAATGATTAGAGGGTATGTRATAACGGAGCCCCTCACGTTTCACAGGGTGTGGAATGAGCTGAGTCATCCCCTGAGCATGTGAGCAGGGCTCTGAGACAGCCCCACTTCTCAGCCAGAAAAACTACCAAGGCTTTCTTGGCTGCAAGAAGATATGAGATTATTCCCACTAAAGGCTGGGCATTGAAATATGCAGCCCACTGTTAAGAAAAGAACCCCTAAAATGGAATATGGATCTTTGTGCCAATGAGATTGAAATAAACTTTTCTGAGGTTCTTTCTTAGGATCTCAACATTTTCTTCAAACTGTGTTTTTACTTTCCAGCTACCATTTGCCTTCAAATTGAGTTACATTTTTCCTCGCCAAAGGAAACAAATTCACTGTGCACACCTGTGTTTAGTTTGTTTTTGGAGACAATATAGGCTATAATTTTTTTTTTTCAAAGAACTCTTAATGGTTATTTCTCTGCATCAGCTTAGAGCTATTTAGAAATCAGTTGTAGAGAAAGAAAAGGCAAATGTATTTCGGGGCGGGGGGATAGAGTTATTTTAATTGCTGGCAATTGCAAGCAAAGGAAATGTAAAGCTGTGAAATTTGCTTTATATGTCCTATTTTTCTTTCTCAGGGGACATGTCGATCTAACAATGTTAGGAGCAATGCAGGTTTCCAAATATGGTGACCTGGCTAACTGGATGATACCTGTAAGTAGACACTTTTCTTTTTTTTCCTTTTGAATTATGCTTGGGTCAGAATAATTATTTTTCAAATATTGAGGGAAAAAAATCTCAAATTGCTATGAGAGTACAATATTATTGTTTTAAAGATGAGTAAATATTTTGTATATATTTCTTGTTGGAATCATACTTTTATTAAGCAGGCCCTGAGAAGTATTCCTGTGTCTCCAGTTTACTCTGTAGTTGAAACTAAAAATAGGCAAGGTCAGGGTCAAAGTAAAATTTTTTCTTTTAAAGAAAACAGAGTTGGGAAAGATTAAAAAATATTGGGTTAATTATATTCTGATGAGACTAAGAAATAATAAATATTATTATAACTAACATTTTATAGTAGAAAAAACAACTAATAAGTTCATTAATTTTATGTTGATTGTATTTTTATTCTTCACAATGATTAAAATCCTCTCTTGATTGGGTATGTGACCCCATAATAAATCAGTCACATTGTCTTCTATTATGGAACGCAAACTCTATGATGGTTAAACATGCTTGTGAAATGTAGACAGTTTTTATTTAACATTAACCTAAATCAAAGAAGAAACCTCTTAAGAGTTAGTTTTGGAAATAGACTGCTATCAGTAACTTAATTCACAAGTGCTGTTCATTATATTCCAGGTTGTTGCTTTCAGATTACATGCATGGAGATGACAGTGGATGTGTGTCCATGATTATGAGCTCATTTTGGCTGGTAGCTTAGGTTTCTCTTTGTGTGTGTGTTTAAGGGTTTCTGTGGGTTTCTTAATAGCATCAGCTAAAAGGAATCTTGTTTTAAGTATCCAAGGCTGGCATTGTGTGATATATCAGTTTTATTTTAAATCTCTGAGATTTTTTTTGTAGTAATTTTTTGAGAAAGGTAGATTAATATAGTTGATAACAATTTTAGTGATCATGGTAGTTTAGCTGTGTGGATCTAATAACCCCCAAAATATTATTGCAAAGTTTGAGTAATTACAAAATTCTCAAACTTGTTGCATATTGGAATCAATCACCTTGGAGATTTAAAAAATATTGAGGCCTGGATTCCAACCCCAGGCTTTCCAATTTAATTATTTGAGATGTATCCTGGGTACCAGGTGGTTTACGAAAACCTAGATAATACCAGTATGTGAAGAAGTCTGGAAGCAAGTACATTACAGAATAGTCACTATTCACTCATATTTAAAATATAAGGGAAAAATACCAGGGACTCAACAGTCGTGAGAACTCTTAGGAAGTCATGGATTATATTGCCATTTGAGTTATAAAATATTGGTCCTAAAAACTGATCATTCTAATTAAGCTATGATTTTATAAGGGTTGGCAGCCTTTGGAGTATTCAAAAGAAATCATGGAGGGACTCCTGAGCAAATTAGTGGGTCAGACTGACAGTTTCTGGGATTGCTTATTGGTTTAAGAAATTGTAATGTATTTCTGTTTTTCAAATTTTAGTAAAAGGCTGTATGGGTTTATAAATGGAGTATAGGAAGGCAAACCCTGGGTTTTTGCCCCCACTGTATCAGTAATCAAAGTATGACCTTGAACGTATCAAGCTTTTTGAGTTAAAGCATCCTCATCTGTAAAATGAAGATCTGAGACTAGATGATTTTCTGGGTCACATCTGGCTCTTCTAACATAGTGGTTGAGAACAAGGGCCCTGTAGTGATATAAATCTGGGTTGAAATCCCATTTTTCCCACTTGCTACCAATGTAACTTGAGCCTCATYTGTAAAATAGGAATGATATAGTAGTTTCTACTTATAGGACTATATGAAAGAATAAATGGGGAAATGCATACAAAGTACATGTTGCAGAGCTCCACACGTATATATGGTAAATAAGTGGGATATTATTTTGACAAGAAGAGGTTTGGGATACCTGGCAGAGAAGGGAATAGCATTGGTTACAGTAAGAGAAGCAATAGGGTCTTTAATTTATGTTTATCTAGACTAATGATTTTTTGAGTTGGTTTGCACAGTGGTCCTGGGCAGTGGAGCAGAAAATGTTCAACAGGTTCTTTCTTTCAGGGTACTTGAGCATCTTTAAAAAGTTGGTCTATGTATGATTTGTCTATATTATGATTCAGTACTCCCATGAGGATAGAAGCTGTTATAGTGAGAAGGTACTATGAGATTGTCTTTGTAAGAAAGATTTTCCTATGTGTATCATATTTTATATATCCTCCCAAGAGTCCTGTGGATGATTAAGATATTGTTACTTTATAATTTTCTTAATATGATTTTAGAACTCATGAGTTTCTGAAGGAACAGAACTAGTAGGGTGATGATGAGGAACTCTGGAGCATCCTAACGGAGCATCATGATAATCCAAGAGAAATGGAGATAAAAGTCTGGTTCTGTCTGGTTCCACTCTTCTGGGAAAGAGGCGGGGATGTCAGTTCTGATTGGCATTTCTTTTTTTCCTCTTAGTAACTGCTAATCCCTTCCTGACTTCTTTGCATGTGATACACAGTTTATCTTTGTATTCTTTGAAACTAAGGATAGCTTCAGTGTCAAGATCATGAGGTTTAGTTTAGAAGAGATCTGGTTTGAATTTCAGCTCTATCCCTTACAAATTACGTGATCTGAAACATGTTTTTGTTAAGATTAAGGGAGAAAAGAATGAAAAGTGAAGCACTGCTGCACTCCATAAATATTACTTTCACCTTCTTTAATGCTTTATTGTTTAACATTAAAGAAGGGAGTATCTCCCTAAAAGTGCACCAGTGTAAGCAAGATGATTTTATAGGGGCCAGTTCAACCTGTTTATCCTGGATTCCTATTGTAGAATCAAAAATTAAAAAAAGAAAAAAAACAAAAACGATTTGAGAATACCTTTCTTGCTTTTGTTGGGCATAGATAAGATATATATCCTCTCCTCCTTAAAGAGCTTCAGCAGACGATCTATTTCTATTTCTTCTGAAGATTTATGATGATTTATAAAATTTAGATATATTTTTATTGCAAGGTCTGACAGTCAAGAAGCTAAAAAGTTCAGCTTTATTGTATCATTTTTCATTTCCTTTTGTCTTCTTACTGAGTTTAATAATTTTTCAATGGTTGTATGAGCCTTGAGTTCTCAGCATCCTGGCATCACCATCAGTCATTGCATTGTCATATTATAATACACATTAAACCTTTAAGACAAGCAAAGGTGTGGATGCTATTCGTCTAACWCTTCAATAGCTTCTTAGGGTGCAGCGTAGGTCCCACGTACACAGATTTTTAACAGTTGTTTTGTTTTTTTCCCTGAGTATCTCAAAAGAGAAAAAAATGACAAAATAGTAGTTCATTCCTTCAAGTTCCCAGCTTAGCATGATGGAGATGATGGTAAAACCCCAGATGAGCTAAGAAAAGCTGGGAAGATACACAGTCCCAAGAATCTACATTCAGATCTGCTCTGCTGCCTTCCTAGTTCCTATTTTTGGAGAACAGCTGGCATAGATTATTGACTGCTGAAGGGAAACAGATGCGAATGATCAGTAAGGGAGATGGTACTGAAAGCGTGAAACAACAGGCCACTGCACGGAGTAGCCGTACATGAGTGATATTAGACAAGGGCCCTCTCGTTACTTGTGGAAAGGATTGAAGGAGAACAGGGCGTTTTTGGTATTTGTTTTCCCCTCACTTTTTTTTTTTTTTAAATTTTCTGTGCATTTGAAAAAGGTAAATACAAATTAATGTTGTACAGATGTATGCAACATGTCTGAGTGCATAAGGRTTAGTGGGTTCTCTAGAGGGTCCTCTACACATCTGTTTAAAATAAGCAAAGTCTTTGGTCTTTCTTATTAAACCCCCAAAAAGGGGGTTGGTGTTCAAGAATTATTCTGGTGGGTTAGTTTCATGAATTGTGTAGTTCAGTATTAGATCCATAGATATAAAAATCCTTAGATATCAATAGATTACTACTATTAAGATTGCAGATCTAGATATAGTTTTAACATATACAAACATATATCATGTTCATTTGGTCCTCAGGCTCAGGAAAGTACAAACCATGAGTAAGGAAAAGAGCAGGCAGGAATGAAGGGATGGTATGAAGCTTTTATAATTATTCAGTAATGTTTTTGCTTTTTGTAGTGCAATATAGTAGAAAGCACATATAGTGTGTTCAACTTTGGAATTAGACATATTTGTGCACACTATATGTGCACAGATCATATACACTAATTTGTGCTTACATACTGGTTCTTTTGTTTATTGGTGATATGGCACATCCTTGTCTCTTACTCATTTGTCAAATGGCAATAATATTTAACTTGTTGATTGTTCTGGGGACTAAATTAGTTCTCCATTTTTCCATAAGTATTCATTACACATATGTTAAGGGACATTCACTTTTCTAAGTTTCTTTTTTTAATTCACTGGTTAACAAAACAGGAAAAATCCTTGCATTTGTAGAGCTTATATTCTAGCAGGGGTTGTCAAACTATAACCCATCAATTGAATCTAGCCTACTGCCCCCCTTTTTTTTAATAAATAAAGTTTTATTGGCATACACATATATCACTAACTTACATGTTGTTTATGGCAACTTTTGTGCTGCAGCAACAGAGATGCTTGGTTTGAATATGGCCTCCAAAGTTCATTCAGTGGAGACTTAATCCCCAATGCAACAGTGTCAGGAGGTGGGATTTATTAAGAGGTGAGGAGGTCATGAAGGCTCTGTCCTCATGAAAGACCTAATGTTGTTTTGTGGGAGTATGTTCCTTATCTAAAAATGAATTTGTCATAAACATGTCTGGCCTTTTTCTTGCTCTCTTTTGATTGAGCTCTCTTGCTCTTCTGCCTTCCACCATGGGATGATGCAATAAGAGCCCTCATCAGGGGAGGCCCTTTGTTTGTTGTTGGACTTCCCAACCTCCAGAATTGTAAGAAATACATATTTGTTCTTTATAAATGACCCAGTCTAAGGTATTCTGTTAATAGCAATACAAAACAGACTAAGACAAGGCTATATTGCTTGCAAAGCCTAAAACATTTACCATTTGG